TGTTGAAGGCGGGGGAGAAGGTGCGCAGCTCCCGCAGGAGGACGGGCTCTGTGCCCCCGCCTTCAGCCTCGGGTTCCTCCTCTTCTTCCTCCTCCTCCTCCTCTTCATCGCCCTCCGGGTCGGCCTCAGGGTCGGGCGAGCTCTGCATCAGCTCCTCCAGCTCCTCGATGACCTGCGGGGGCCTTCACCTGCACCCGCGTCCCCCCGCCACTCTCCCCCCCCCCGCTCCAAAAAAAAACGCCACCCCCAGCCCGGCAGCCCCTGGTCTTTGTCGGCAGCCCCTGGCCTCCACCCACACCCACACAGGCTGGGTGCTCAAACCCCAAATCTGCCCCCTGGACCCATGTCTGCATGCTGCAGCTTCCTCATGCAGCCCAGATCCTGTACTTGCACCACCAACCACCATCCAGCACCTGGCCCCAGCATCAGCATCCCACCACCCCCTGCACCTGCACCATGCACCCCACACCTGCACCTGCACCCCATACCTGCACCCTGCATCTGGACCCAGCATCTGGACCCCCACCTGCACCCTGCACCTTGCACCCTGCACCCTGCATCTGGACCCAGCACCCGGACCCCACACCTGCACCATGCACCCCACACCTGCACCCTGCACCAGGACCCCACACCTGCACCCTGCAAATGGACCCCACACCTTCACCCCACACCTGCACCCTGGAAATGGACCTGGCACTTGCATGCCACACGTGCACCCCACACCTGCACCAGCACCCCATAGCTGCACCACACATTTCTATCCTTCCTTTCCACCGTGCCACCCCTTTGCACCCAGCATTCGCCCCCATTCCCACCTGCACTCACACTCCCCTCTTCACCCACACCCCGCTCCCCAGGATGGTGGGATTTGGCCTTTTTCTGTGCTTTCAGCAGGTGGCTGCGGGGCTGGGGTGGGCTGAGGCCACGTTGGGGAGCTAAAGCCTGGCTTTTGGGGGACACATGGGGGTTCAGATGCTCGCAGGGGGCAGTGGTACCTGCTCGGCCGTCAGCAGCGGCTCCTCGTTGATGCCCGAGTCTTGCTCGCTCCTCTCAGTGAGCTCCTCTTCCTCCTCCTCCTCCTTCTCGCAGAGCTGCAGGAGACACAGACATGGCCCTGGCCCTGGCACAGGGAGAACCACCAAGGTACCACAGCTCAGGGGGATATGTTGTGTGTGTGGGATGAGATGGGGACAACATTGGATGGAGATGTTGTTGGGGACGTTGGACAGGGGTGGGGAGATGTTGGATGAGGACACTGGATGGAGATGTTGGATGGAGATGTTGGATGAGGACACTGGATGAACGGATGTTCGACAGGGACACTGGACAGAGATGGATGGAGATGGATGGATGCTGGACAGGGACACAGGATAGATATCCTGGATGGAGATACTGGATGGATGGATGCTGGACAGGGACTTTGGATAGAGAAATGTTGGACAGGGACACTGGATAGAGATGGAGATGTTGGATGGAGACATTGGATGGATAGATGTTGGACAGGGACACTGGGTAGAGATCCTGGATGGAGATATTGGATGGATGGATGCTGGACAGGGACACAGGATAAAGATGGATGGAGAAATTGGATGGGGAAATGTTGGACAGGGACACTGGATAGAGATGTTGGATGGAGACACTGGATGGATGGATGCTGGACAGGGACTTTGGATAGAGAAATGTTGGACAGGGACACTGGATAGAGACGGATGGAGATGTTGGATGGACAGATGTTGGACAGGGACACTGGGTAGAGATAAATTGAGATACTGGATGGGGAAATGTTGGATAGAGATGGTGGATGACACTTTGGATGGGGACTTTGCCCAGTGATGCTGGATGGGGATACTGGAGATGTCAGACAGGGTGATGATGGACAGGAAAGCACTAGATGGGGAGGTGTTGCACGGAGACAGACACTGGATGGAGAGCTGTTGAGGGGAAGTTGGACAGGGAGAAGGACAGGGACGCTGGATGGAGATGCTGGAGTGAATCCATTGGAAATGCTGGGGATGATGGATGGGGACGTGCAGGATGCTGACGCTGAAGGGGGAAGAGGGGACAGGGACACTGGTGGGGAGGTGATGGATGGAGATGTTGGACAGGGTTTTTACCACCTTTCATGGTCTATTGTGCCTTTTTAGCAGAAAGTAACACCAGAAATTCACCTTCTCCTCCCCCTCTCACAACAGGTGGCGTAACACCCAAATGGGGTAAATTCAGTGGATTTTGGGGCATCTTCGCAGCCCTCCCACATCCCCAAACGCATTTCACAGCATGAACTCGCTACAACGAAGAAAACACCACTTTCTAACCACAAAATTACACACCTCACCCCTGGCTTGGGGCTAACCTGGCAAAGACCAGATCACCAAACCAAACACCTCACCTTGCCCATTTCAGTGTGATTTCACCCTAAAACGTGGCCACCCGCTGCGTCGGTGCTGTGGCACCCCAAAACCACCATTTTTTGGGTAGCTTGCAGTGCCAAGCGTCGCCACGGGGTCACGTGGGGCAGTTTGGGACTCAAGGGGGGGCACAGCCGTACCTGGGGGTCGGTGCCATTGGGGGCCTCAGCCCCAGGGAGCAGCCAGGGCTGGGGGGAGCCACGGGGGGCGAAGCCATCGGTGAGAGCGTCCCAGACCCTGCGGGGAGGCGGGTGGTGAGCGGCGACCCCAAAACGGTGTCTCCCAGCCCAAAATGCCTCGAAACACCCCAAAATGCAGTCCCGAAACACCCTGAAATGCCCCCCCTAAAAATCCCCAAAACGTGACTGAGATGCCCCAAACACCCCAGGTGACGTCTCAGGAGACCTCCAGTGATGACCCAGAAGATCCCAAAGCTTCCCAAAATATTGCGAAATTCTGTCTTGAGATACCCCAAAGTAACCCAAAATGCTGTCCCCAACACTTGCGAGACCCCCAAACGTTGCCATCAAAACACCGCCCAAAAGGCCACTGCAACATCCCAAAATGATCACCCTGAAATGCCCCAAAATGCCACCCTAAAACATCACTGTAATGCTCTGAAATGCCCCAAAACATCCCAACATGCCCCTAAAGCCCCACAAACACCCCAAAATGCCATCCTAAAAGCTCCAAGGTCCTCTGAGAGACCCCAGAACATCCCAAAACACTGCCCTGGAGCACCCCAAAATGCCCCTAAAGGACCCAAAGCTCCAAAATGTCCTGAAATGCCCCAAGATGCCATCCCAAAACACCTAAAAATGACCCCAAAAGCCACAGCTCTTCAAAATGCCACCCCAAAATGCTCCAAACATCCCAAAAACCCCCTTGAAACACCCCAAAAGATCCCTAAATGCTACCTTTGAACACCCAAAATAGCATCCTGAGACACTGCCCCAAAATGCTGCCCTGGAATGTGCTGAAATACCCCAAAACGCAGCCAGAGCAGCCCAAAATGTCACCCTGAAACGCTCCAAAATTGTCACCTTGAAACAGCTCTGAAGCACCCCAAAACTGTCCTGAAACACCTCCGAATATCCCAAAATCCAGGCTTGAAACCCCTGGAAACAACTCCAAAATGCCCCAAAACTGCCCCAAACCACCCCAAAACTGCCTTGACCCTCTCTATTTCCCCCTTCTTTGCACCACTGTTCGGGGTGCCCAATTCTCCCCGCAGGGATGGACCAATTTTGCCCAATTTCAGCCCAAAAAAGATGCAGGAGGGAGGGGGAACATGGGGAAATGAGAGGAAAGGGGGGGGAGTGAAAGATGTGAAAAAAAGAGGGAAAAAGGAAAAGGTGAAAAACAGGAAAAAAGGGAAAGGAAAAAAATGAGAAATGGGAAATGAGGGAAAAAATAGGAAAAAGGAGAGGGGAAAAATGGGGAAAAAGTGGAGGAAAAGGAGGAGGAAGAGGAGGAGGAAAATATGGGGAAAACGAGAGAAAAGAGCTGAAAAGTGGCACCGTTGGGTCAAAAATGGAGAAAAAGGTCAAAAATGGGGGAAAAAGGACAAAAATGGGGGAAAAGGTACACAAAACAATTAGAAAATATCTCCCCAATTAAGGCAAACCCACTCATTTTCTCCCCAGAAATGGTGTTTTTAGTCCCTGATTCCCTCTAAATCAACCCCCAAATCGCCTGCCCTTCCCCAGTCCCAAACCTGCTCATTTTGGGGTATTTCTCTCATCTCTCTCCTCCCCTGATCTTAATTCCCCCCCCCAAATCGGATATTTCACAGATTAACACACAAAAACGCACATTTTCTTTCAAAAAAAAATCTTATATTTCTGTTTTTAACAAAAATGCAGCAAATAAGGAAAAAAAATCCCTAAAATTTGCCCTTTTTTTGTGCTCTTAAAGGGCCGGTACGCTGCAGGGTCAAGCAAGCAGCAGCAGCAGATTTTGGGGTTAATTATGGCCAGAGCTGGTTAATGATGAGGGAAATGCAGCGCAGCCCATCCCCCGCCCGGGCACACAGGGTCCTTTCAAAAAAAGAGCAGAAAAAAAAGCTCTGTTTTGCCCAAAGGGCCCCAAACAGACACAATGAGCAGCACAAAGCGGCTGTCGGCGACAGCGCGGCGCTCCCGGCACACACGGCATTTTTCTCCGAAAAAAAACATCGGTTTGGTCAATTCCAAAAAGCGATTTGGCCTTGGAAGGTTTTGGTAAAAAAAAAACCCAACAAAAAAAACCACAACCAACCTCAAAATAAGAGAGATTCGGGGGCTTTTGGGTTGAAAATCCCCAATTTGCAGGGTGAAAAAAATGAATATTGGGAATTGCAGCCTGGGGAACAATCTCAATTAAACACCCCCAAAATTCCATTACAAAGGCATTAAGGAACAAGACGCTGGAAAAAAATGCAACCGTTTGACCAAAAAAGGGGCATTTTGTACCAAGAAGGTCAATAAAAATTTAGGCTTCGATGCAAACGCCACGGCATCGTTGGTTGGGGGGGATTTTGCCCCAGATTCGCTGCCTCGATGCACAGCTCACGGGGAGCAAAGCAGGAGGCTGAGCTCCACTCACACCTTACTCAAGGTCTACACTCACACACAATCCCACCCCACCTCGGGGGCTCATTCACATAGACACGGGGCACCCCACTGTGCCTCCCCATAGGATGCTACATCACTACTCCAAGGATGCTATACCACTACTCCAAGGTGCTGCTACCACAAGGCAAGGGGCTGATTTGTGTGTGGTGGAGATCTTGCAAGCATGCAGGAAGGTGTAATAGGCCCCAGAGGGGCGTTACTCATGGGATACTACACTGCTACTCTGATGTGCTGCAACCATGCTGCAGTGGGGTAGGCTGGTCTGCACGTTGTGGGACAGAATACACTCTGTCATGTCATGACCATGCAAGGAGGCATGCAGGCCCAAGAGTGGCCTACTCATAGGATACTACATAGCTACTCCATGCTGCTGCATGACTATGCTGCAATGCAGGAGGCTGAGTTGCATGTGGGGCAAGTTTTTCTAGCATGCAAGGCAGCATGCAGTCCCCTAGGGTCTCCTTACTCATAGGATACTACAGTGCTATTCCCAACATGGTGCACGGCCATGCCGCAACGCAGGGTGCTGGTCAGGGAAGTCTCGCCAGGGTGCAAGGAGGTGCACAGGCCATGAGGGGGCTTACTCACAGGTTACTACAACACTGCTTCAATGCATTGCACAACTATGCTGCAACACATGGAGCCGGTTTGCAATGGTGAGGGGAGACACTTTGCCAGGTGGGCGAGGAGGAACGTGCTCCCAGGAGTAGTGGCGGGGGGCCTTACTCACTCCTCATCCTGCAGGCGCTCCTCCTCTTCCTGTGCCTGGAGCTGCCCCCGCACCGGGGCCAGTCCCTCAGTGGCAGCATCGTAGTTGCGGAAGCAGACGGTGAGCTTCTCGTCGAACTCCTGCACCAGGTCCTCCATCGACTTGAAGCTCATCATCTCAGCTGAGAAGCTCTCCAGCTCAGCCAGTGCCGGGTCGGCAGCGCGGGGCAGGGGCCTCCCATCTTCCCCGGGCCCCTCCTCAAACTCCTCCTCCAGGCTCACCAGGGGCGCCTCCATCCTCCTCAGCGCTGCCTTAGCTGCGGGGAGAGGGTGCCCATGAGGCACCAGGCTACTCACAGGTTACACCAGGGCTCCCCGGTACCTTTGCGGCCACTGTGTTGGCTGAAACCCTACTGCCAGGGCTATTACACCACCAGTAGTATCTCTGTAGTATCCTAACAGTATCCCTGGAGTATCCTAATAGTATCCCAACAGCATCTGAGCACACGTCTTCATAGAAATACACTGATAATCTGTCTAGCAGTATAGCATCCTGACAGTATACTAGTAGCAACAAAGTGTTGACAGTGGTCCAAAAATATATTAGTGCTACCCTGACAGTATGTAAAAGGTATCATAACGCTACCTTTTTTATTTAACTGGTAGTATCTTAGCAGCATCCTTGTATCACTACCTTAGCAGTGGCCTGAAAGTACCATGCTGGTATCAGCAATGTGTCGACAGCATACCAAAGGTCTGAGTGTTGCTGTGATAGCATCTCAGAAGTATCTTACTACTACCTTTTCTAGTGCCCTTGTAGTATCTCAGAAGTATCCTACTAGCATCCTGACAGCATCCTATTAAAAAGTGAGCACTGTCCTGATAACACCTTAGCAGCATTGTATTAATATCCTGATATTAATAGTAGTACTCTGACACTATTTTAGTAGTATGCCAGTAATGACCCTGTAGTATCTTAGTAGTGATAGTATTGTGAAAGTATCTCAGCAGTATCCTTGGGATATTCAAGCATCCTCCTGATAACATCTAGGCAGCATCCTAAGTGCATCAGTATATGCTAAGAGTATCCTAGCAGCAGCTACTAAATAGCTCAGCATTGCCCTGATGGCATATTAGCACAGGTCATAGTATCCTGATACTATGTCAGGAGCACCCTGATAGCATCTTAGTTAGATGCTAACAGTGCCTAGATAGGATCCTAATAGTGCTGCAGTGGTCTATAGCTGCTATCTTAGTAGTGTCCAGATAGCATCTTGGTAGTGTAATGTAGTATCCAGGTAGTATCTTAATGCTGTGTTACTACACTGAAACCATCTTAACTGTACCTGTGGAAGCATCCTGAGACTACCGTGATGGGGTGCTAGCACTGCCCCAGCGGCACCTTCACAATAGTATCTCACTATCAACCTTAGGAGTTGATAGCATCCTGATAGCATCCTGGTAGAGCCCTGATAGTACCTTGGCAGCGTTCTCGCAGTGTCCCAGTAGCAACCACATAGTACCCTGATAATATCTCAGTGCCACCCTGAGAGTGCTGGCAGCATTTTACTCAACTCCCGATAGCTTCCCAGGAGTATCCTGAGAGTATCTCAGCTGTGTTGTGACAGTACCTCCCTACTCCCTCACAAGGTTACTGGGAGCATCCTGTGCCTGCCCGCAGGCAGCCCTACGCGTGCAAGCAGAACACGCGTGCACACAGGGGTGCACACCTCTTGGGGTACACGTTTGCGGGGGGGGGGTGGTGTGTGCAGACCAAGGCGCACGCGTGCACGGTGCGCACACGCTCACTGCGTGCGTGTCGGTGGGGTGCGTGCAGGGGGGTGCACACGCGTGCGCCTCTGGGGATGCGCGCACCCCGCACCGTGCAAGGAGGCGCCCGGCACACGCGG